GCAGCTGTGTTTTCAGGCTTTGTGTGCCCCTCTACAGTCTGAGGTGGGACCAAAAACAAGGGACCCAATGTGCAGGACTGGGCTGCCAGTGAGTGGGATAGGGATGGGGGGGCAGAATCTGGGTGAAAAATAGGCTTCAGGAGCAAGCTGGGGGTACGTGTCTGGCCAGGATGGAAAGAACAAGAGCAGGGTGCTGGTGGGGCCCTGGGTAGAGAGCAGGGGCAGGGTGCTGTATGATGTCTGGCCAGGGTCCTGGTAGAGGTTAGGGAAGGAGGCAAGGGTGGGGGTTTGGGAAGGAGGCAAGGGTGCTGGTGGGGGCCAGGTCAGGGGGTAGGAGCAGGGTTCTGATTGGGGCCTGGGAAGGGGACAAGTGGGGCCCTGGGCAGGAGCAGAGTACTGTATGGTGTCTGGCCAGCGAGCAGGGTGCTGGTGGGGCCTGGGGCAGAGGGCAGGTTGCTGGTGGGGCCCTGGGCTGTGGGCAGGGTACTTGTGGGGCTCTGGTTGGGGGGTCAGGGTATTCATGGGGATCTTGGCAGGAGGGCAGGGTACTCATGGGGGTCTAGCCAGGGGGAGGGGACAGGGACAGCTAAGCAGGTACTTGGGGATCCTGTAGCTGCACACCAGGTCCACAGCCTCAGGAAGCATGTATGCTGCTCCCCCCCAAACAGCCGTCATGCTTCCTGAAAAGCAAGGTCTGTCACACCACCAGGGTCTTCCTTCCCCCTGCTTCTTGCCTTCCTTCCTGCATGGGAGGAGTGGGGAGTAGGAGTCCCAGGACTGTGCGGCAGATCCAACTTCTCAGGAAGTGTGTGCCATTCTTCTGCTCCCCATGACAGTCGGCACACTTCCTGAGAAGTTGGAGCCGGCGTGCAGTCCCATGACTCCTACTCTCCCTATCCCCCTGTGCAAGAAGGCAGCAAAGGGAAGAAAGTCCCTGGAGGCATGACAGACCCGGCTTTTCAGGAAGTGTGCTGGCTGTTTGGGGGAGGGGAGGAGCCACCCACATACTTTCTGAGACACCAGAGCTGATGCACAGCTGTGGGACTTCTCCCCCATGCCACAGGAAGCTAGCACTACCTCCATTTTCTCAGAGGGTAGCGCCAGCATGGGCTCCTTCTTGGGGTGGAGGGAAATGATGGGGAGGGAGGGCTAGGACACCTCATGATCAACTGGTCGGGCCCCCAAAATCAACCAGTCAGTTGTGATCCACAAGTTGGTGACTATGGTTCTATGTTAATTTTTATGTATCTTTTATTTTTTTCATGGATCCCCTGCTTTAGTGTCCAGGGGCCCCGACAGCTACAGCACCCTGCAGATAAGAGCAGCTGAGCAGTCAGAGTCAGGAGGAGGCCTTACAACAGGAATAGGGGCAGTTGAATTGACACAAGTACACAAACCAAGAGTGAGTGTCAGGCACAAGCCATCCCAGGCTCTGTGCTGTGTCTGGGCCCAGGCGGGCATGTTGCAGGCAGCAGGCGGGGAGCCATGAGGGGCTGGCGGATGCCAGGGTGCGATATTTCAGTGAGGATTGACAGCAGATGTGCAATCACATGAGTGCCATGGTCAGTAACTGAGGGGGGTGCTCTGAGAAGTTAGCCCTGTTCCTGCTATAGAAAGCTGAGGATCGGTAACATTGAGTTAGCAGGCCTGAATAGAGGCCTGTAGCATAAAAACAGCAACAGACTTGGAATCTAGTGAGTAAGACTTTGGATCAGGAACACAGGAGCCAAGAGGCCCTACTGATAACTGTAAGGCTGTGTCTAGACTACATGCCTCTGTCGTCAGAGGCATGTAGATTAGACACATAGGCAAAGGCAAATGAAGCCACGATTTAAATGATCGCGGCTTCATTTACATTTACATGGCTGCCGCGCTGAGCTGACAAACAGCTGATCAGCTGTTTGTCGGCTCAGCGCGGCAGCCATGTAAATGTAAATGAAGCCACGATCATTTAAATCGCGGCTTCATTTGCCTTTGCCAAAACAACAAATCTACATGGCTCCATCGACGGAGCCATGTAGTTTAGACGTACCCTAATTGTGTAAATTAGGTGAAGCATGGAAGGACACAGGGGGCACTGGGTACACACTGTAAGCCAAAGGGGAGTAACGGAACATCTTAAGGAATGTCTGGGTGCAAGAACTCCCTAGGAGCTAGGCACATACCAACCTAGGTTCAGGACCAGGTCGGAACTGACAGGACGATGAGTAGAAGGCAAGCCTTGCACAAGATGAGGGGTGGTAACTAGGCAACAGAGGGTAACAACCTGGTATGTAAAGATGTGATATAAGTTGTTTGAACCTATCCGGCGGGGGGGGGGGGGGGGGGGGGGACAGGGGTGCAGGAGGCACCTGAACAGCAGGTGTTATTGCCTAAACTTAAAGAATGCACAGTGGCTTACCTCTGGCTAACTGCTGTTAATATCTGATATATGGCAATAGGCCTGCCCGGTGTTGGTACCGTGTCATCACAGGCCATAAGTCTCAGTGGTGTAACATTGTACTGATCTCTGTTACCAACTGGTAGAGCTTCGCATTTGACAATAAACCTGCTCGATTGATTTCAAACCTTGCCTGCACCTGTCGTTTCCGGGGCCTCTCAGAGATCTCCTGTGTTGACCCAAGTGCACGGGGTCTAAGACTCTAGATGAAGGGAGTACCCATTGTTACGCATGCAGCCAAAAGTTTATCATCACCGACAGGGCTGGCCCAAGGTATTCTGGTGCCCCGGGCACGGGCGCCACCCCCTGGGCATATGGCACATGCACGGGCCCCTGCCCCTCGGGCACACAGCACAAGCAAGGCCCAGTCCGGCCCGGCCATCGCTACTGGTGCCGGGCCGTGTAGGGCCCCACAACTATGGGGGAAGGGCGTTGCTGGCCGGCACTACAGGGATGTGGGCAGGCTGGCACTGCAGGAGCCGGGTGCGCGGCACCTGATGGCAGTTGTAAGGGATTCTGCGTGCCCCTAACAGCTGCCATCAGGCGCCCCCCATCGGTTGGTGCCCTGGGCAGCTGCCCGGCTCGCCCATGCCTCCGTCCGGCCCTGATCACCGATGGAGTAGAGGTCCTGTCAGGAGTGCGCCAGACGACGCTGACACTGACAGTTCAGACCCCCGAAGGTACCGAAGTACGGAACACTTCAGTATGACATCTGCCGGAGTCTGTGGGCAGGGCCTGCCTCTCGCTCAGCGTCACTGCGCGGTGCCTTGGCAGAGTCCTGGCCACAGTGGCTTGAGTCTCAGGCCTCACCACAGGCCTCTCTGCACACGTGTGTCCCTGGCTCTCCCTCCCCCCACACAGAGTTTGTTCTGTCACCCCTGGGAGCTCGCCCTGGCTCTGGTCCTGCTACAAACTGACTGGAGCCAAAGGGACTCGCCAGCTGCCTGCTCTAGGCTGTGGGGTTGGCCCTGAAGGAGGGAAATAGGCCCTGTGGGCTGGGCAGGGCCGGGGGGGTCAAGGAATGAGGACTACTGGGTTCTGATCCCAGCCCTGGCAGGGCAGTGGGGTGTAATGGTTAGAGCAGGAGGGGCTGAGAGTCAGAGCTCCTAGGTTCAAATTCTGCGTCTAAGACAAGAGTGGGGCCCAGAATCTGAACATCAGGGACCTGGAGCCATGATCCCAGAGTGTTGTTCAAAATTACAGAGAGAGTCAGGGACAAATCATTGTGCCTCGGATTTGCTAGAAAAAAGTCAGACTCTTTAGCACAGCCCGTAAATCCCATTACAATTGTTTTCCAGGAAACTCACATGATGCTGATGTTGATGTTCCGACTTCCTCTGAAATGACTGAGCTGGTGAATTGCTTTTCTTGCAGCTTGAGGCAATGTTGTTCTTTCTCTGAGCAATACTATAGGAGACTTATTTCAGGGACTGCTCTGTCCTGTGGGACTGGCCCTCAAGGCTGGAAATGGGCCCTGTGTGATTGGCCCTGCTTTGGGCAAGGAGCTGCACTTGATGACTCCTGAGGTCTCTTCGGGTATGTCTAGACTACATGGCTCCGTCGATGGAGCCATGTAGATGAGTTTATAGACATAGGAAAATGGCTGCCGCACTG